GAAATAGTGGTGAAACTCTTTATAGAGTGACCCCAGACCACACAAGATGCATGGCCACTTTCAATAAACATCCCGCAGTGCAACCAGGGCCTGGGCCCTTGAGCCAAAAGAGACAGAGAGGGAAAGGTGAGGAGTGTGTCAAATGGCTAACAAGCCATTTCTGTGTGCTCAGAGGTATTCTTTTGATACTTCTCTGACTTGTACCTGTCCCCAAACCTACCCTCTCTACCCAATAAAACTATCCGCTATAACAAGCTTTGTGGTATAAGATTGGGAGGAATTGGGCATGCCTTTTTATTCCCTTGGTTTAGCTGGGTAAGGGAGGCTACTTTCTGTGCTTCAGATTAAAGAAGCCCCCCCAAGGTCCCGCAGTGGGTAAAGTGCACTCAAGGTCTACCGGGCCTGTGTACCCCAGGGGGCACAGGGCCCAAGGAATGACTAGCCCCTGAGTGGTGGCTCTATACCCCAGGCTTGTGGATGTGCTCCAGGAAGAGGGTTGGCCAGAATTTGGCACTTGTGGGCAGGCATCTGAAGCTTGTTTTTTTTGCCAGGCGGAGTGAGGTGGGTGGCTCTGCGCAGGGGAACTCCCAACTGGCCTGCCACAACCCTCACCAAAACCTGGGCTTCATATGTCTGCAGAGAAATGTCGCAGGCCACGGAGGGACCTGAGCCTCAAGTTTGCACCAGACTGGCAATTTTATGGCCAGGACAAGGAGGTGAGGCTAATCTGCCCTGGGGTGGGTTTTCTTTCTCTGTAGATAGGGCACAGTTTCTTCCAGAGAGCTGTGGATTGTGTATTAGCATCCTTTGCAGCAGCAGGACATTGGCAGCTGTGGGTTCCCTGTTTTTCCTGGGACAGGGTCAAGTGTAGTGCCTGGGTCTGTGTCATGTTGCTCCAAGTTTGGACACTGAATGTGTCTCGACTGGTTTGGACAGGGCTGATCCTGCCTCAGGCAGCAGTTGGACCGGATGTGACCTCTGCAGGTCCCTGCTAGCCCCACTCCTGTAGGACTTGATGACTCTGTGATTTCTTTGACTTGCTCCTGAGTGCCCAGCATGGCCTGTCAATCTGCTGGCTGCCTTCAGCAGTGTGTACCGAGGGGTTTTGCTGGAGGATGGGTTCTGACTCTGGGCAGAGTCCTTCTTTCCCTGTTGTGAGAGGTCTCAAAGGGCGGTGTGGAGAAATGGCTGCAGAACCCCTACAGGGTCTCAGGCTCACCTTGGAGCCCTCCAAAGTGGAGCAGGCCTGAGTCATCCCAGCGCTGCACTGTTCGCTGCAGCTGGACATCCTAGCCCAGAGAGAAAATGATAGCAGGTTCCTTGAGAGGCAGGTGCTGTAAGGAAACCCCTCGGTCACTGAGTACAAGGCACCCCACTGCAGCCCCAGGACCAACTACACAGTGACAGTCCAGGGCCTCACAGCCACCCGCCTGGAGGAGATGTTGCCTTTGACATGGAGAGCTCAAGTAAAGCAGGCTTTAAAATAGGATCATCGGGGGAAGGGGAAGTTGAGGGTGGAGGAAACCGGACCAAGCAACACCCACAACCACATCCCAGCCTAGACCAACGAGCGAAACGAATAAATAGGTAAGTGACAGGGGCCAGGGCAACGCTGGGACTAGGGGGTCAGTGCACACATCCACAGGAGGCCTCAAATGCCTCTACACAAACGCTCGTAGTATGGGAAACAAGCAGGAGGAACTCGCCCTCCTGCTAGCTGACACCAGCCCGAACATAGTGGGGATCACTGAAATATGGTGGGACTCAACACATGACTGGGCGGTGAATGTCAAGGGCTATAGATGGTACAGGAGGGACAGGATAGGAAGGAAAGGTGGGGGCGTGGCAC